AATAAATAGCCCTATATGGTATCATCGAGGTTTCTACATTTTATAATGTTAACTCCGGGTAAACAGAGTGTCAAAGGTTAGGAATGTATATTGTAATTCCTAGAGCAACAAGTTAAATATATATATGCATACATACATATAGGACAGAGGACAACAGCCGAGGAACAAACAAAAAATTACAGACCTAAATCCAACCATAACAATAATTACATTAAATGTTAACAATGTAAATGTTCCAAGAAGGAAAAGACTATCAGAGTAGATAAAAAAGCAAGACCAAAATATATACTACCTACAAGACATTCTAACATAAGCGATTCTAACATAAAGACAAAGGTAAGTTGTAAGTACATGGATAGAACAAGAAAACCCATGCAAACAGTAAGTATCAGAATGGTAGAAGAGCCCTTTAAGTATCAGTTAAAATAAACTTCAAGACCAAGTATTACCAGAGGAAAGAATTTCATAATGATAAATGCAACCTTCAATAGAAAGATACATCTAAGTGCATATGGGTCTAATAAGAAAGCCTCCAAATACAGGATGCAAAATTGACAGAATTAAAGGGAAAAATTTTTAATTCCACAATTCTCTTAAAATGTCCTAAAATCCCCAGCTAAACCTAGCCACTGCCTGCTCCCACATCTCTCCTCCTGCCCACTCCTTCCCGAGCTATTTACTCACACATACTTTCTTCTCCCCAGTGGGCTAACTGCTCTTTCATGTTCCCAAATCTTGGCACACACTGTTCTCTCTGCTTAGAACACTTTCATTTCCTTTTTTGGTGACTCCTACTTTCACTCCAAGTGTCCCTTCCTCAGAGATGCTTTCCCTGCTGATTACATGTTTTCAGAGCCCATCTGTGGGTACACTGCTCTCTTTCCTTCTCTCTATTTCTGAGTGTGTGTGTACGTGAACCAGAGGAAGGCATCATCATGAAAACTGGAGGAATCAAAGCACGGAAGCCATTACTACTGAGCACTGGTCGTAGCACCAGTGCTTGACATTTAGTTAGCATTCTGTAAATATTTTTAATGAAATAAATAATGAATATTTAATGAGTAAATAAATAGAGGAAATTATTTATTTATCTTTCTTTTAAATCTGAGGGACATCTGAGCATGCTTTGACAAAGGAGAGCTGGGGGAGGAAACAAGTGCAAAATGAGAACGGCTCACTGGTTGGAACATAAGAGGACACAAAGGTATTCCTAGAATTGGTTTAGATAAAGAGAAGATGGGAGTGAGAAATGAAGAAAAATTCGTGCATATTAATCAGATGGCTTAATCTCCACGTATAGGTGAATTAGGAAGCTGAGAGTGTGCAAGGGAAGGGAGCTGGAGTGATAAATAAACTGAGTATTTTACTGTGCTGAGCTTCTGTTTCAAACAGTTCATTCATTCATTCATTCATTCATTCATTTAACACCATTAAATAGCATCTAGAAGATATAAAACTTCTATTTGAGTTACATGGGGTGCTGGGCTGCCCCTAATGAATATACTGTAGATGAAAATAGGTAGAATCCCAGTCCCCTATGGAATAGCAAACTCATTGGTTTCATGCAGTTAGAACTACAACTTCTTCTGGGTATGCCCTTGTGTGATTGGAGTAGGGGAGGAGGGACAGAGTATTAAAAGCATGTTTATATTATGTCATGCTGAATGAAACTATGGCATATTTTAATCTAGCTATGATACTGTTGTAAAATTTGAGGAGAGTCTGTAGGAAGTAGGAAGGACCCCCACCAAGGTACACCAGAGATGTGCATTCATAAAGCATGCTGCCTTATTTTTATCAGTCATATGTAAACATACAGGCTATTAGCAACTGAAAAACATAGAAAAAATTATCTGCACTGTGCACTAAAAAATAAACTATAACTGGTTCTATGGTGTTGGGTTCATCTTGGGTTCACCGAAGTACATACTATTTAGTATCAACTAAGAAAAGAAAGCCCAAGCTTCTCGTCAGTCCACTGGAGGGACACTCAAAATATTCAAGGTAATCTAAGAAAAGGCAAGATTTCTCTAGCCACCAGGGGCTCTTGAGGCAATAATCTCCAAAATTACATCAACATGAAGGAAACAAACATGCTCAGTTTGCCCTACAACAGAATGTTCCTATTTTAATTCAAACTATTATTTGAAAAATCACACATAATTAATGAAATATTTCTGGAATAGTAATGGTTAAATATTTACATAGTAATTCTGAATCTTTGAAGAAATATTTCTGAAATCATCACATTTACACTGATCTTTGAAAAAAGTACAACATTTGAAATACGGTGATATAAAAATTTTCACCTCCCTCAATTATAAAACCATACCAAGAACAAAAACAGGTCACTCTTTAATTAGTAATTATTATGATTGTTATATACAAACCATTATGCTAAACATGGAATATAAAAATCCTACTAATAAGGAATTTATAGTTCAGTTGAACGATAAGACATATGCCCACATAATGGTAATATAAAACACAAAAGGGGCATGTGCCCAAGGAAAGGATGACAGAAAGCATGACAAGATTTCAAAGATGTCTTAAATATAAAGGACATTATTGGAACAACTGGCAAAACTTGACTGGGATCTGAGGATTAGATGATAGTAATATATCAATGCCAATTTCCTAATGTTGATGGTTGCATTATGGTTAAAAGTATGCTTATTTGTAGGTAATATGCACCAAAGTATTCAGGGATAATAGGGCCTAAGGTTGGCAATTTATTTGCAAATGACAAAAAAAAAAAAACCAGTTCTTTTTTCCACACCTGCAACTTTATCGTATCTTTGAGATTGTTTCAAAAGCTAAAACAAATTTTAAAATGATGATTGTGAGTAAAGTAGTATCATTCTGAGTTTTACAACTTTTAAAAAGTATTCTCTATTAATTCATGTTGCTTGTAAACATAGAGGTATTTATTCTGCTTCACTTGGCAAAACCTTGAGATCCTTGAGGAAAAGGTCCAGTTTTACTTTAATTTACATGGCACACAACCTTCGTTACCCTTAATCTTAAACCAATCTTAGATGTAATCATCTGTAATTTGAAATCATAGTTCTATGCCCACACTTATTTTTCTTTACAAAAAAAATAAAGCATAATAGTATTGAGTAGTCTAGAAAACTCTTTCTACATCCATTTAATGGTGACAAAAAGTTGATGTTACTATGAATTATTAGAAACCCCATTTATAAATGAGAATATGGAAACTGAAGAATGAAGACATATATCTGTTTAACTGTGGTGCTGGAACCTGAACAGAGTTCTTATGACTTTTTAATCCCATGTTCTTTTCCACCAAACACTGCTATCTCAGGTCCTTTTGAAGGCTCTGTTCAGTTATCACCATGAGTCAGGAAATTTTTTGCTTAGAGCACAGTCCTGAAGGGAGGTGACCAAGACAACTCTAAGTTGTAAGAACCTCTCTGTCTCATTTTTCTAAAACGGGTTAGATAGCAATAGTATTTCTTCTTCATAAATCATAGGCTAAGGCACTTAGAGGATTAAATCAATCAATACACATAAGGGACTTGGAATAATGCTTGGTGTATAATAGACATTAAACTATTACTATTTCTAAAAATTCAGGAAATTTTAGGACGCATTTGAATAAAAATAAAGAAGGCAGTTGAATAAAAGCATCTTGCATGAATAGGGAATTATTTCAATTGTTTCTTAATTAAGAGGGAGTTCCTTGCTTTGCTATTTGGCATATTCATTCGCTAAATGAGGAAGTCTTTATCTACTGCTGTTGTGTATTACTCAGAAAAAGCACAAATTTTTGCCTCAGCATTTATCCTTAGAAAACTGAAAACCCTTGTATAAAAATAGGTCCGTCTCCAGTATTTTCTACTTCATGACCCAAAAATTCTTGAAATATGAACATTTTAAACCCTCATTTACCCTTTTCAAAGTGTCAACCATACTCTTTACATATAGCAGGTTACAGTAAATTATGACTGGGCTACCAGACCCTGCTGGAAATAATCATTAATTATTATTAGTTATTAATTATTAATTATTATTATATTATATTTATATAAATATAAATTATAATAATATAATTTTATATATTTTAATAATTATATTAATTATTAGTTATTAATTATTATTAATTATTTTGCACAAGAAATCCTCTTGCTACTAAAAAAATTAAAACAGCACAAATAGATATTCAATACAGATCATTATTTCCAGTGGGTATCAATCAGTTTGAACAGGCAAACTGTATCTGAAAACCACATCATGGCCCAAAAGAGGTTTTGGAATAAACCCTGTCTGGAGATTCCATTCATTAATTCATACAGACATTTATTTAACATTTACTAAATACTTCCTATGTGTCCAATAATCCTTAACCTTAGATGCTGGGGATATTGCCACGGATAAAACAAATATTTCTCCCTCTTTCGACTTGTATTTTAATGGAAGTTAACCAGGAATTATCATAAATTCTATTTGTATATGTTATACACGCTTACCTATTATTCATAATGGATTCTTTAAGTTCCTCTACTGTACGTGGCTATTAAAAAATCTAGCCTGTTACTATTTGAACTAATATGACTGTGAACTGTGATTTCTGAACAAGTCATCTGACCTTGCTATGCCTAAACTTCCTCAAATGTAAAATGGGGATAATAATTGAACCTATCTAGAGTTTTCACGTGGAAATTAACTGAGTTAGTACACAGAACAATGCTCAGCTCAAATTAACCTCTACATAAGTATTGACTATTATATTTCAAAAGAGGGATTGTGAATGACCTCACATAGAGCAAGCTTTGAACCACATCCTTTGAAATTATGAGACCACACACTTGTCCAGCAGGTTTCCTAGAGAGTATTTTAACAAACTTATTCTTAAGTAACTTCAGTGCACCCAGATCAATTTTTCTTAAAGGACATTAAGACAATGAGTCTAGATGTACATATTGGCAAGTATTGTGTATTATATACTCACACATAAAATTCCTTCTATTACTCACATTCTCATAGAGAGCTTGAAGGGTCTCCAGATCAACCACAGAATTGTCCAAGTTCACAACAGCTGTGGAAAAAAAAAAAAACATATGAAAGAAAGAATATAAATTCCCATTTAAGCCAGTTGTGAAAAGATGTCTGACCATCTTGAACAACAGTGACCTTCTCCAGAACAGTGTTCTAACTTCATCGCACCCACTTACTCCACTACCAAGACTGTGTCCAAGGAATTTCGACAGGGGTAAAGTGTAAAGCTTTCACTTGTCCCTCAAACACAAAATCCCATGAATATGACCCAGTCAAAGGTCAAAGAGAAACTGTGAGTCTTTCAAGGTCCAACTGCATGAATTTGAAAAATTTGCTCAAACGGGCAAATCACTCCTGTTACTGTCACATCCCATTTTGTGAGGGACTGAAGGACTTAATATAAAAATAAAAGATGAATTTTCTGTTATAATTTTTTACATTGTTATAATCAAAGGACAATTCATTGACTATGGTATTGAGATTAACACAGATGCACCCTAAAAATCCATTCTTTTTTTAAGTAGGTTTCATGCTCAGCGCAGAACTCAACATGGGGCTCAAACTCACAATGGTGAGATTAAGACCTGAGCCAAGATCATGAGTCAGATGCTCAACTGACTGAGCCACCCAGGAGCCCCCAAAATCCATTCTCAATGTACAAACTACCCATGCTTATATAAGGAAGAAGTGGAATGGATAATCAAAAACTGGGAATATGTTCTCAAACGCATTTCTTTTGGCCTGAGAAGCATGTTGGATTTTGGAGTCAGTATGTTTCATAACTCAGTTTGGGCACAGATTAATCAAAAACATTCTGCATTACCTACATATATATTAGCTGGAAATGAAGTGAATTTGCCCTGATCAGATTTGTGCCAAGTAGCCAATGAAGCTGCTATGTATGGGATTAAAGATTTCTGGGAGAAAAATCACAAAGTAGATAATCACAAATTGATTAGATTTATTTTGAATAATTGAGGCATTTCACACTGTCTTTTCTCTCAAAGCTTAAAGTACATGAGACATTTTCTAGTTGACTCTGGCAAAATACCAAGAATGAATTAAAAAAGACAAGTGGGAAATTGAAGCATATGATGGATGAGAAATCTAACCAAGATAATTTAGCATTTCTATCTGGAGCTGGGAACAGAGCCCAGATTCACCAAGATCATAGTAAGTAGAATATGATACTTCCACCCTAATAATATTCTATTATCTCCATTTCCAACAAATTATGTCTCAAATATCAATCTAAGAATTTGATTAAGATTTTCAGACAAATCTTTTCACTCCTTAGACCACATAAGGCAAACATATCACAATCTGTTTAGCAACTCAAAGTGGTAAAACTAGCCCAACTAACTTTGACTATATTTCAAAAATTAATTAAAAGGGATTAATAAATGATTTTTACTAGCGGTAATATGCCTATAATGTAACAAAATGCATAAAACCCAAATAAGGATAGCAAAATCATGTGTGAAATTATCCCCTTGGATTTGTACATTGTCTAGCCCTTAAATAAAATTTACACTGAACCCAAAGATCTCTGACTTTGAAATTCATTAGATAATAATCCAGTATTTCTACATTCCTCTGGTGACACAGCAAAAGATTGATGGGAAAACAATGAAAGAAATGCCAATAGTCAACTTAGTATAAGATTTCATTCTTCGTAAAGAACAAAGTAAAGACACAATAAAATCATTCGTACTTAAGTCAAAACTCTTTATAAAAGATACAGTTGTCCTCTGACGTTATCCGTAGTTTTAAAACATGTTATTCCTACAAGTGTTCCCCACATGAAACTTTGTGTGTATAAGTGTGGTTTCTCATCGGTTTATCTCACACAATGTCAGGTACTCAAGAATTATCTTAATAAATGCCATGTGGTCCTAATCATTGGTATATGGTCCTAAGCAAGTCCTCAAAAGTTCCTAAGCCATGAAACCTCACTATTTAGTCATCCACAAGGAAATCTCCATGGAAAGAAATACTGTTACTATTTTTCCACACAATTTTCTCTTAGTTGGCTTTACACTTGAGAGATGCTAACACAATTTGATGGGAATCACAGTTTTGAGAGAACAATAAAGTCATGCTTGAGTAGCTGAAAATTAGAGAAAATTAGATACTGGCAGATGAATGGATGGAATGAGAGGAGTTCTAGATGGGAAATAAAGGCAAAAGAATTAATTTGGGAAAAATTAAGGTTACTGAGGTGCTATATTTACTCAATTTAAAAAGCACATTTTAACATTTCAGAAATCAAGACTCAGACTAAAATTCCTATCTTTCTAAATATTTAGTGGTGTCTTCTAGTGCTCCCTCCCTTAAAATCTGTATATTTTCAACTGATAAATTCTAAAATCAAGGAAATAAAACAATGCATTCACTCATGAACTCAATAATATGTAAAGTGTTCTTAGCATCCAGGGACTATACTAGCTTGGTACACTGGTTAACTGTTATTTGAGAAACAATGACTTGAGGGGCGCCTGGGTGGCTCAGTTTGTTAAGCGACTGCCTTCGGCTCAGGCCATGATCCTGGAGTCCCGGGATCGAGTCCCACATCGGGCTCCCTGCTCAGCGGGGAGTCTGCTTCTCCCTCTGACCCTCTTCCCTCTCGTGCTCTCTGTCTCTCATTCTCAAATAAATAAATAAAATCTTTTAAATAAAAAGAAACAATGACTTGAAATTGGAGCTATTTGATGTGGATGTTCTCAATTACTCAGCCTCGAAAGGCTGCAAACAATTGGATGTGCAGAGACCACTCCAATCAGATTTCTAGCTATGGCCATGCTAAGGACTTTAGAAATAGAAATAGAAATACACATACTGTGTTTTTTTAAGGTGGCAAAAGTTTCAAGGAAAAAGCACCTCACAAATTCCCTGATTCCATGTGCAAAATTTCAGCCTTCTTTGAGAGGAAAAGATCTTTTTTTTTGAGATTATTTCAAGGTGATAGCTTCTATTTTCCCCCAAAAGGGAATACTGTTTTTATGGGATGCTTTATTGATGTAGAAGGAACAAGAACATGGAATCAAACTTAACTGGGTTTAAATTTTTCTTTGCTGCTGCATTACTTCAAGTAAGTTACTTAACTTGACAAGTTCCAGTTTCTTTATAGGGGGCTGGGGTGAGGGGAAAAGGAAATCAAAGAAAATATTAGCAAGATTTTGGGTTTCGTGGGGACCAAAGGCAGGAACAAGTAAAAGGATCTAGCATGAGGCTGGTTAATGATAGTTCCCACTTTTCATAAAAGTTCAACACTTCTGGCTCTAATATACTTTATTATCTAACTCAAAGTTGAATGAGTTTCTTTTTTTTTTCCTACTTGTGTTTTGTGCCCTCATAAACCAAAAAGAAAAATTCCACCTGCATCTATTAAGGGGTGTGTTCTCACCGGAACAATGAACTATCACAACTAAATGACAGCCTGGCTTACAGTTACCACTGTAACTTTTTTTTCAGAACACCTAGAATTTTAATGGATACTTAGCAACCACTTCTTAGCCGAAGACCATTTTCCGAGAGGGTTCAAGCTGGCAGCGATGGCCACCCCCTCCAGATACTGAGGGACGAGGGTGGCCGGGGGTAGGAGGAGTGTATTGGTCTCTGGACAGGCAGGGCATCGGGATGCTGTGGAATGGTGATGAAGGGGCCATTCACGCTGGGGCGGGGCTAGGCCTGGGGCTCAGGCACCATCCTCCACCATTTGAAGGCAAAGGGTACCCTGCAGATGTTGGCACAGGCACAGAAGTCCCCGGTTTCAGTCAGGTAGTAGTCAAAGTCATCGATGAAGGTGCACTTGAAGCCCAGGGGCTCTAGCAACTGGCAGATCTTTTCTTCCAGGCAGGAGATGCCCTTGATCTGGGGCCCAAAAGGCTTGGGGATGCCCAAATTCTTGTCCATCACGATCATCTGCAGCAGGTTAGGGAAGTAGGGCCTCGCGAACAATTTTGCCATCTGCTTGGAGGGGACGTTAATCAGCTGCTCCAAGCAGAAGAGCTGTGGGATGTCAATGATGTCCCTTTCCACCAGACCCAGCTCCTTCTTCAGGATGTCACGGTTCAGGTTAATGCACTTCTCTCCGTAGTTGTTCTGCTTCCTCATGTTTTCATCAGCCAGAAGTTGATTGATGGTGTTGGCCTCCCTCCCGTTGGAAAGGAGCTGGTCCTCCCGGACCTCTGCAAACAGGGCTACAGGACCTCAGGTCTCTGTAGCCCTCCTTCTGTTTCTCCTCGAACAGTCTGTAGCAGGAGCTGGGGCTGGCCAGGAACAGCTGGAAGCCCTTGTCACCCTCACTCTTATCCTGCGTGGGGATGAAGCACATGAACTCATCCATGTGGCTGACCATCAGCCAGTCCAAGAACAGCTCCACCGGGGCCTGGACTCGCTGGGCATAGAGGAAGTCCCAGAGGGCCTTACCCATGTCTCGGCCCTCCTTGCTGGGGTAAAAGCAGCTGCCAATGAGGATCCTGCCTAGGGGGTACTCTTTCCCTTCCACTTTGACTGGTGGGGACACCATCAGGTTCCCAATAGAGTCCATGCTGGCCACCCTGTGGTCCTTGGTGCCTTGGATCATGTAGCCAACCCCTGGGCTCAGGGAGTATTTCATGGGGAAGTCGTCCAGCGTGAGAACCCGAGGGGTGTCGAGGACCAAGGAAAGAGTCTTGTGGGGAGCCTGGGTGTAACAGAAGGCCATCTCATCCTGGAGCCACCTGCCCAGGCGGTTGGGGTCCTCGTAGACAGATACCACCTGGCTGTTACTCTTCTCGCTCAGTTCCATCACTGTGTTCACAAAACCCTGGACCTGCATCACTCTGCACAGGTGACCTCTAGAGGCATCTGGGTGCTGGGAGTAAAGATGCAAGGGGCCACCAGAACACTACCGTGTCTTAGTACACCAGGGTCTCTGGAATTGACAGGTCTTGCGATTCTTCCACCAGGGAGACAGAGTAGGAGATGAGGCCCAAGAAGTCGGCAGTCGGGAACTCCATGGCTTCACCGTAGAAGGTTTCCTTCCGGTGGTTCTGT